GGGGGTACCGTGGGCTGAATCTGGGGCCTTGCACACGCTAAGCATGACTCCACCAGTGAAATGAACCTTTTTTTGTGGTCCTGGAAACGAAACCAGGGCTCCACCTACCCCCTGTTTTAATATTAAATTAGCATTACAACTTTTCCTTTATTCTTCATAACTATTTTTAAGTCTTATGAAGATTAAATTCCAAATCACTTATCTGTGAAATATCCCCACTGAGATGTTCAATTTGCATTATATTAAATGACAAATAACTATGAACGGATTAAGAATCAATTGCTTTTCTAACCAGAAAGGCTGAGGCTCTTCAACTTCAGAGTGGTCTGTCTCCTTCCCACGGTCATTTATGCCTCTTATGCTAGCAAAGCTTAAACCTTACCATATTTGCTTTTGCTATGTGAAAAGATTTTTTCTCATATTTTCAAATTATATCAAAATTCTATTTATATTATTTATAATAGAAATTACTAAACTTAGTTTTAGTTGACTGTTTGGGACACTTTTATGTGGAAATAATTTTACCTTCCTTTCCCAGAGTTCTGTCACCTGGTTTCTTGTCTAAGCATGCTGCTGGGCATGTGACAGGCCTGGTGATACATGCACCATGCTTAGTATATCAGCTACTGACAGCCTAATCCCAATTTTGTTTATGAAATCATGGATTATACCCATAAAATAGTAACAGTGAACTATCTCTGAAACAGAGAGATAATAGGTTTTATTTTCCTATACATCTTCCCAGTAAACAATCTGTGTATTTTTTTATTAATTATGCCTGCCATAAACTTTTTCAATTTATCTTCCAAACTTCCTAAAGCAAATGGACATACATGTAAACATGAATGCGTGCATATTTTCTCTCTCTTCTTTCTCATCTCCCTTAGTGTTCTTTGCTTAAGGACATCTTAAAATCCAAATAATCCAGGACCAGGTTCAATCCCCAGCATGCGGTGCTGGCCCTGCCCCTGAGGCACCCTGAAGCTGTGCATGACCCTGGGTACGATGGTTCGCGCACCTGCAATCCCAGCGCTTGGGAGGCTGAAAGCAGGAGGATTGCTATGAGTCCAATCTGTGTAGTGAGACCCTGTAGACCCTGTAATAAACACATTTTAAAAAATAAATAAAAAATAAAATGAAATCCAAATAATCTTTTTAACAACGAATGCCTCATTAGCAGCTAAGAAGGCAAGAGAGAAGCAAATTCTAAGAAAGGCATTTTCTTTAGAAACAACATCCTACCTTTAAGGATACCTTAAAACAATACCTTGATACAGCTTCTCAAATTATACTCTATGGCTCATCCTTTTTATTAAAAAACACTTGTTCTTAATTAAGACAATATTACATGACAAAATATTAACAAGTTGACATTAAGAAAGTAATAATATTCCTAAATCAGTGCTCCATGAAAATCAGATTTTAATACTCTTTTTAGGAGTCCTGCAGTGTATGCAGCAAATCTGTCAATCCTTATCAAGTACTGTTTCTTTCATATTTGATTAAGTACCCATGATATTAAGCCTAGGTCAAAATCTGAAATACTGTGTGACACATTATCTGAAAACACGCACCTCAAACATGAACAACTAAGCTTTGTGGTTTTAGTCTACCAAGGAAGTTTCAAATTGCTAAAACAGGCAAACTGCTCCCCATGTTCTGAAAACATTAATATAATAATTAGTTCACAATGGACATCTCCTTTCTTGGTCAAAACAAGAAAAAGAAAAAAAGAAAAGCAAAAACAAAAAAAAAAAAAAGAGAGAGAGAGAGAGAGGAGAAAAAAAGGGTGATGAATGCAATTGGAATGTTTATTGTTGCTGAGATTCTTTAGGCCTGGATTCCAAGTCAGGGTCTTGGTGCAAGTTACTAGGACAACGTAAATAACAAATGCCCCCCCCCCATCCCACCAAGATGATTTCTCTGGCAGACCATTTCAAGCCTTCTAAGATCTATGTGTGAGAGAACACACACACACACACACACACACACACACACACACAGCAATATAAACTACTCAAGAGTCTCCCAGAACTGCCTCTCAGTACCAGAGGCATTACTGCCACTGCAGACAGACTCATCCCAGACACCACGTGAAATGACTTTCAGGGCAGTTCCGAAGGACAACTGCGGAGCCAAATCCTGTTCATCACTGCGTTTCTCTCAGCAATGCTTTTTACAGAAAGGTACCAGAAAAGAGGCTGGGTGAAGATGGTAGTCTTATTTTGAACACAAGGAAAAGCAAATAAATAATCCACAAAAGGTATTCTATTGTACCAAATGTCTTTTCACACAAGATAAGCTTTAAAATTTGCTTTCACAGTTTCAAATTTATATATCTAACGAAGATGCCTTCTGATGGTGTATATTATTTCCTATCATTCTCTAAAAGAAAAATAGACTCGAGAAAAACTGCATCTTCATGGAGAAAATGTGATTAAGTAGAGATCTTCTGACTGTTGGCTGTTAAAATTTTAAAGTAGCCTCATGAGGAAAAACCTGGCAACTTTTCAGTGAAGCATTAATGAGACTTCAAGGCTGGTTTTGTGACCCATCAAAATTAATGTTCCAGTACTGAAATTTGGTGGTTCCTGAGAAAGACTCAGGGAAGCTACCTTCTTTTGTGGGTTAATCAGGATTCTTACTTCAGTATTCGACAGAGGCAAAAAAAGGTTTTATGTATATCTGCCCTAAATCAGGCAGACGTTTGATTTATTTAAAATATGGTTTTTCCTATAGGAGACACCTAAATTAGAAATGAATAGCAAGATAAAAGACAACAGGACCAGGGAGACAGAGCTTTCTTAAACAGACAGAAAGGGGACCAAGAGCTGGAAGGGAGAGAAAGACGACGAGGAAAGGAACTAAGAGGCGCTACACTCACACCCACTCCCTGCAAAGAGTGGAGGCATTACAGCCTGTAAACACGTACTAATAAAAGTGAAACACACAAAGGTCATTGGAAAAAAACAACTCAGCAAGCTAAAATTGTCTGTACTATCAAAGACTGCAAAACTCAAAGGCTGCTAATCTTGGGCATAAGTGTTTGAGAAAAAAAAAAAAAAAAAAAACAGCAAAAAATGGAATCTCATCATCAGCAAACTCCAACCGGCTCGTGTGATTCCCCTCCTGTACAACTGTGACCCAGAGAAATCAAATTTGCTATCACCTCTCTCTGTGTCTCTCTCTCTTCTGGTACCAGGAACTGAACTCAGGACCTTGTGCTTTCCAGGCAGGTGCTTAAGCTGCTGAGCTATCACCCCAGCCTGAGAAATCAAATTTATATTAAAATGCTCAAGCCCAAATCCACACACCCTTAACAACAAGCCCAAGCCACAGATCCTTGACATGCCTTACACATAAATCTTCCTAAGTAGAAAGTAACTTTACATGCAAAAGAAAGCATCACAGCAGAGCTTCACAGCAATGGAAGCTAAAACTTAAGTGGATGCCCAACCCTAGAGCCTTAGTCATGAAGCTAGTACGTTTTCTAGGGTTTTCATTTTCAAATCATATTACAAGTCGCAGCACACTGAAAACTGGGGCTTGAATAGGACTTCGCAGTCCATGCACAGCTGGGACAACATCTGTCACTCTCAGTCCTCGCGGCCTTGGCATTAGCAGTTCTTGCTCGTGTCCCAAACAACGTGCAGCAGGGTCCACAGAGGAATTAAACCATGGAGGCTACAGACTCATGGCTTTAGGAGCTCAGTCCCGCCACGTAATCTAGCAATTTCTAGAAGGTTCTGCTGCTCTGCTTTACTATTCAGGGGAAGATTAATTTATGTGAGGACTTTGAGTGTCATCTTGTTAAAAATATGAGCATGTAACTTTTGCCAATGAGGGATTAAGGAATTTATGAGACAGCATACTGGTCGGTGCCCCTAATGAGCTTATTCACCTGTGAAAATGTGAACAGTTTATTCATAATTCATTTACTACAAACAAGGTCAAGTTACTTTCTCTTTTGGGACGAATAAGTCACTTAAATGTTTGAGAGACAAAAGGCAACATGCAAGCAAGAGTACTAAAGCCAAGTGAAACATGGCTTGGTCGTGTGTCTTCACTTAATCAGAATTTCACCCACTTTTACTTAAGGAAGTCAATTACAGACATGATTAAAAAGAAGCTCAAATCATAAGACATTTCAGAGTTATCAGGCTATCACAAAGAAATGTCAGAAAGTTCAGTTAACCATCAAGACTTTCTAAACTTTCTCTGCTTTAAAGATCCCACCTAGGATTCTCTTTCAGTGGCTTTCTGACAGCCCAGCTGTTTGGGGACTGGCCCAACTCACTGAATGATGTCTGCCCTCTGCCCTTGCTCTACCCAAGGCCTGCCTGGCCCACTCCCATGTCTTCTATTCCTGGGGAAGCAGCAGGCAGCTCTCCCAGGACCAGGCTCTACATGGTCCGAGCAATCTCTCTCCCTTTCTTGGCTTTGGCCCTGTGCATAGCTGCAGAAGAACGCCTCTTCCTCTGTGAGCTGCTCAGTGCCTTCACTGATGGCCATCTCATCAGCAAAACCACTCCTGTCACTTCAGCTAACTGGGTTTTTTGATAGTTGCAGAATTACAATAAATACAGTCACAGAGGCGAAAAAAAAAAAAAAAAGATTTCTCCACTTTAAAAGAGAAACCCCTCTTTTAAACAGACACGTCCACCCCAATTCAAAACATCAGAATACTGTGCTTCCAGGAAGCCCAAGAGCAGTAATACATTACTCTAAAAACATTTAATTCAGACCCCAAATCTGAATCCTTAGCATACTTTAACATCCTTTTAGTGCCAACAGAGATTTAGATCTAGTAATTCTATTACAGTGCGAAAATATTACCACCAACTTTACTTCCCTAAATAAAACCATCTGACATGATTCCTGAGTTGATCAGTGCATATACCTGTAAACAGCTCTCCTACCTCTGGAAGTCTTTTCAGTCACTGAGAGTAACACACACCGCACTCCTAAGATGCAGGTCAGGATTGCACGCTGTGACTCACCTCAGTACACTGGCGTCTCCAAGCACGGCCAGTCTGAGGTAGCCCCGAGGACGGGCTCAGCCCTGGTAGGTGGGGATTCTGGGAGGATCCACGCAGGTACCTGAAAGGAACACAGTGTTCTCACACATGTACCCCAGAAATACTAAATCATTCACTTAATAGTTTTCAAAGAGCAAATTCACCAGCTCGGAGTATAGGTTTTGCAAAGAATGACTGCCCCCTCCACCCTCCCCTAGGTCATTTGACTTGCAATACTTGTAGGGTGAGTTTGTTTTCTGTTTGGTTTCAATTAGCATTTATGTACCTTTGAAAAAGGAATTTCAGTTGTTTTTTTAAAAGGGCATCTGATGGCCCTCTCGTGCACTAGGAAGGCTTCTTGCCTCTTTCTGCTCACTAAGGCTCCCTGTAGTACCACAGTAATTTCTTGAAAGCAGTTAGCAGTTAGATATTTGGAAAATTACCTGAAGCCAGGGCTAAAAATGAAGTTGAATGAGAGGCCTCAGGTTTTCAGTCCTAATAAATAACAAAAACGCACCACCCTGTCCCTGGCTAGCACCAATTACTACCGCTGGCTGGCTTAGGGAGAAGGGCAGCTCGGTGGCCTCGCTTCTCCGCACGCAGTGCTGCCCACTTCTGTGAGCGCATCAAGCTCCAGGAGCCGTGGCAAGAAGCCTCGGCCACAAGACAGAGACTGACGCAATTCACGTCTGCCCATTCGGACTATCCCCTTCGCAGATGTTTCTGCATTTATTTATAGAAAAGTTTACTTTAGTAACAAAACTAGCTCCTATCAAGCACTTTTTAAAATATATCCAGACACTGAGCTACTTTTATTATGAATAAAAAAAAAAAAAAAACCTCAACGTTTCCGTTCTTAAATGTTTAGTCATGAAATATCAAATTAGAAATAGCAGAAGGAAAGAAAAAAAACTGGTACCTCCCGCCCCCCAAGCCTGATGAAATGGAAGAAAACACATAGATTTCAAACACAATTTAGGAAGGGAGAGCGGGCCACTGCCTGCCCTTCCACAGTGGGTTTCCTTCTGTACAGCTGCTGCTGCCCTAAATGAGGCACTGTCTCCAGCTTCCTGGATTAGACCAACTAGACTAACACTCCGCAGAACCTAATATTGATTACAAAAATGTCACTGGTTTTTTTAAAAAAATATAATGTTACAGTTGTAATGTAAAAGTACCTGCTTACAAATTTTACAGGAAAAAGAGTAAAGTGTTTGAGATATATGTGTGTGTGTGTGT